CATCTTCATTACTAATTTAAATAAGAATGTGTCTCCCATCTAATGGTCCAATTTTTCACTCTCTAACAAGGTGCATAAGTTCAAATTCTTTGCGAATGAGCTCCATTTGGGATGACCATATAGAAACTTCCCAACCAAATTCAAATGACAGGAGGAAGCAAGTTGAATATCTTCAGCTTCTGTAAAAAATATGACAGACTTCCCATTTTTCCTAACAGTTTTCTTGATGTCATCCGCCCACTCAAACGAATGAGGGAAATATGGTGATTTAGGCGTGTCTGAGGCGTGGACACCCGCAAGGGCAGCTGCATATGATTTGTCCGAAGCCATCGAAAGCCTTGAAAGAAAGAAGAGAGGACGCTGTGAGCGCAGAGAAGCCTCAGAGGAGCGCACCCGCGAGAGGGAGCCGCAGAGGAAAGATGTGAGACAAGCCGCAGAAACACGAGACGGGCCGTAGAGGAGCCGCAGAGCGCGAGACGCATCTCAAACCCGGAGAAGAAGCGGCGGAGAAGAAGCGGGGAAGACAAATGGAATCGAGCGCGAGAGCGAAGCCGTAACGTCTCAGAGCCGGAGAAGACGAAAGGAATCGAATGCAAAGACGAGCGAAGCCGTAACTGTTGCTAGGGTTAGCCATCGGACGAAACACAAAAATATAACTACAATATATCGCCTAGTATTTATAAATAATTATGAAACTGCAATAATGAGAATTATCACATCAAATTATAAAAAAATAATAATAAATATTGTGAAGATAAGACAAGCTATGTAATAGAATTTTTTGTTGTAATAAGACAAGACTAATTACTTATGAAAATTCTATATAAAGAATACATAAAATCTACTGTAATTATATTAACTAAATTCGAATAGTAACACTGACAAACTTACAATTAGCTAAAATTTAATACAAATAACAAGGTTAATGCCCTTAACAACGAACGATATGTTTATCATTTAACAAAGAGTTGTTACTTGCCTCGAACTGCTAGATATCGGGTTTCAAATTTATCAAAAGTTCAATTAGCAGCATCCGACAAAGTTTTCAAAAATCCCACACCAATGAATATCCAATTAATTATAAATACAATTAATAAGATTGAATTAATAAGAAAGAATAGAAATAGAAATCGAGTGAGCTCACCTTAGGTCTCTACTACGGTGGCAAGGAGGATGGTGCTACGAAGTTGCTAGGAGGAGAAAGATAGGAGTTTTGGTGGTTTCTATATATGCCGCAATCTCCTCATTGCCTTCACGACTAGCTCTAATTGCGACTATATCGCAACGGAATGGAGGAGGAGAAGGATAAGAGTTTTGGTGGTCTTTGTACGCCACGATCCCATCATTTCCTTCACGACTAACTCTAACCATGATTGCAGAAAGGAGGATCATTGGTTACAAGGAGTTTTACAATGCCCTAGCCTTCCAGTCCCTTATATACATTTTTTAGGGTTTAGGGTTTAGGGTTACTTAGCTTTTTCCCTAAATAAGAATTTTTGCTTTTTCCCTTATGCACTGCTTGCCCTAGCCTTCCACTCCCTTATATACTTGCAACAAGGCGGCGGTAGCGAGGGAGGAATGGGAAAGTCACACGACTCTTTCGATTGGGAATGTGGCAAAGCACGGGAAGAAGAAAAAAAGGAAGTAAACTCTTGCGAAATATTGCACGGCTTCAAATCAGGAAGGTGACAATGCGTGATTGCAAAATTCACGAAATCACAAGATCAAACTAAAGGGGAAGGAGACTCAAGATTTAGCAAGCAGTGTGAGCGGGATTGCAAAGAAAAAAAAAAGAAAGTTTCGATTCTTATAGCATGAATCTTGACGAGTTCCTTAAATGGCTCCAGATTGTGGAACTAATTTTGAGTTCAAGGACCTTCCACCTGACATAAGGGCAAAATTAGCCACCATTAAATTAAAGATTAGTGCGTCTTTATGGTGGAAAATTTTGAAGCGACTATGCCAGCATAAGGGAAAAAGCAAAGTCACATAAGCATATTACAGGCATGACAACTGAAAGATCTCTCAGTAGAGGAGGATAATGTTGAGTTCAAGCAACTTATGTTGAAGCATGAGTTAGTAGAGCCCGAGAAGAAGACATAACTCGATATATAGTGGGATTAGATCATTCATTTACAATTTGGTACAGTTACAATCATATTGGATTTTGCAGGATGTCTAGGCCTTAACCTTGAAGGTTGAAAGATCACGCAGCTGTTTTAGGTTCATAACACCTTTTAAACAGGGTTTAACCATCGGATTGGGCAGTAAGAGTTCACTCATTGGAGCACCCAAGCCGACCTCTTTCGAGAAAAATTAGTTCATAGTAGAGAAAAGGTGGAGATCACCAACACTCCCAACTTTGTCACAATAAGGATATGCTTCAAGTGCCACTAGTTTGGGCATATTTTAGAAATAAAACAAGAAGAATAAGGAATTGAGTTTTCATAGACTTCATAAACTTCTCACCATGTAATTGGATTGACCATTTATAAGAGTTGAATCACAATGATGTGAAAATGACAAATCAATTCTTTGAACAAAATTTCATATTAACTATTCTTAAATTTAGCAACCTTTTTTTCTTCTTTGTGCTTCTTAAATGCAACTATTGGATAAATCTGAATTTTATGGGAAAGCCACCAATGAACTTGACATGAAAAAGTGCAAAACTAGCCCAAAAGAGTGAGCCAAGTATGGACCCCATTTACTCCATTTTTAATATTCAAATGTCACATTTTCTATTATTCTCTTATTCTTTTTGTAGTCACCTTCCAAAATACGAGAGAATCAACGAACTTAATGGACACCCAAGTGGCTGACTCACCCGAGTGAAAGACAAGGAAACACTCTTGCCACCAAAGGCTAGGAATATGCTGCCAAGTCGAGCTTATGATGAACACACCAAGCCTAGTAGGAGAGAGCTCGCTAGAGTAGCTCGAGGCGGACTCGTTAATTGGGCCTCAGGAAGACTCTCTTAACTACATTCAGGGGATCTACCCTCCAAGATTGAGGCTAGGTCATCAGACGACTATGGGGGGCCATCTATAAAGCTAAATGACAAATTTATCAAGTTGGATTCAAAGCGGATTCACTAGCCAAAATTCTGCATCTACCCTCTAGGATTGAGGCGAAGTCATCAAACGACTATGAGGGGCCATCTATAAATCTAAATGACAAAATCATCAAGTTGGGTTCGAGGCGGATTCGATAGCCAAAACTCTAAGGGAGAGCTCGCCAGTGGAGCTCAAGATTAACTTGTCAACCAGGCCCCATGAAGACTTCCCCAACCTAGTTTAAGGCATCTGTCTACCATAATTGAGGTGGATTTGGTAAATGACTATGGAGGATGGAGCTTAGGATAAACTCACCAAAGCCACCTAAGGATGCGCTCGATCGACTCAAACTCGAACAATTGTGAAAGCATAGGAGAGCTTCCCAGCAACTGCTACAGAAGAGCCAATGACTTCCTCAAAGTCAAATAGCTGGCTACTAATCTTGGTTTGTACCTGTATTTAGGCTACACACCACTTATATTTTTTTCTGGTAATTTTTATATGTATAGTTAATTATGTAGTCATTGCTTTAGTGCTTTGATCTCTAATAACTATCTAGAAATAGGGTTAAGGGGAGAGCTAGTTTTACACATATTTTCCTAAATTACCACTTAGTGTGATAAAGGCTTGTTGTTTCCTCAGTTTTTTTCTCTGCCCTTCATTGTTTCCCACCTTTTTTTCTTTGGGTTAGTAAGGTTTTGATATAACTTACATACAAAATAGGATCCAACAGTTTTCTCTAATATGATCATTCTGAACATCTTATTTTTTTTCTATGCCTTTAAACTATTTAAATTTTCATTGAGGAACTTACGTTTGTACATCAATGAATAACATCATTTAAATAATAAAAGTGCTTCTATAGTTCTATATATTTTTATAAAATTAGAAAGTTGTAAGGGCAATGTTTAGAATCAATGTTAAAACAATATCAAAGGTCGATTTGTATTTGCCAAATGTTAGGTGGTAAATGATGGTTAGATAGTATTCTAAACCTTTAGCAAAACTGAGTGTTTGGAATTGCCTCTACTTTACTTTGTTATCACTGAGGTTTTATAAGAGCAAAGTGATTCTTCTTGATTAATTTTGGATCTTATATTTGTAATTTATCAATTAAGTGACTTTGAGTACAACTTTGGATAAATTTCTTTAATAGGATGGTCATTCCTGTTAATTTATTTCACAAAGATTTATGTTATAAAAGTTATTTATTAATATATTTTACTATTTACAACTATCTTTGCTGAAAAAAAAATGGATTTTATGGTAGTTAGTTATATTGACGACCTAAATTTCCATTGTCTGGATTGATATCTCTGATTTCTCCAAATTTCATATAATTAATATGAGTTGGAAAAAAAGATATCCTATAGTTATAAAAAATAAAATTAATATTGACATTTATTATTGTTCATTATATGTAATAAATAGGGTAATGTATGGAGGTTTAATGCTACCACAAATGGTGAAGTATCAAATTTACGGAATGACTTAGCAAGCGTAACCTTCTGCGTTCAACATTATCAGTGTTCAGGTAGTTTAAGCGATTAAGATGGGAATTTTGACCGCTTAGCTTTGTTTTCCCTTCCCTGGATAGATTTTTCTTAAAGCAATTCTCACATGCAGCCAGCGTCCCTCTTGTTGTGGGCTTCTAATCGCCCTCAATTCAAATTAACTATTTATTAATTTAAGAAAATTATTTTAAAGAATTTTGCTTGAGAACCATGCCTTTACATGCTACTATTCTTTTATCACTCCCAGTAGTTTCTTTTTGTCAATTATATATATATATATATATATATTCTGCCACTTTTTAACTTTATCTTTCTGTTCATCTTCAAACTCTTGGAACGGTTTCTATAATCATTGAAAAAGTAGGGATTTTCATCTATCTTTTTCTCTCTTCTATGCTTAGTCTGTTGCTTTTTAACCCATCTCAAGTAGGAATGGGCAGCTGAGCATTGTTCTGCGCTCTACCGAGCTCCTGAATTTTGGGATTGTCCGAGCGAAGCTTATATTGATGAGAGGACAGATGTTTGGTCTCTAGGATGTACTCTATATGCAATCATGTAAGCGCTGTTCAAACCCTCTCTCTCACAATTTTATATATTTATCATTTTTTTCAATCTTGGTTGGGTTCTCTTTTCTTATTTTATTTTTGTTCTTGCTTCTAATTAAAAATCATGTGTTTTACATGTTTTTTTTGTTTTAAAAAATAAATTAACTTCTTTCTAAAATATTCAAAACATCTAAAAGTTATTTTGAGTGTTTTAGAAAATAACTAGTCATGTTATAATGTACTAAACATGTTTTATTTCAATTAACAACAACAATAACAATTCTATATCTCACTAAGTGTGATCGACTACATGAATCATTTTTCTCCATTGTGTCCTATTGAGTGTCATAATTTCAATTAATACTAATAAATTAAGATAATTCTGTATACAACATGCCCAAATCCTTTTAGGCATACCTATATATTTTTAAAAATAAGTCAAATCTAAAATATCTACTCTCCTAACTTGATCGTCATGGTAAACGTTTAAATAAAAATCTATTCTGCCATCGACTTACACCACCCTTTTCACGGATATATTTGTTTCACATTTTGTCTCTAAGTGTAATGCACTCATCTACCCTAAGCATTTTTATCTCAGCAACACATTAACTTACTTTTATGCTTCTCTTTTATAGGCCAACATGATGTACCACAAATTATTGTATATCTCACCACCATCTTATATAGCTTTTCTTAAGTCTAAACGGTACTTTTCTGTCACACAAAAGACTCGATGCATTCCTTCAATTCATCCATCCAACTTAAATTCTACTAATAACATCCCCATCTATTACCATCACTTTGAATAATAGACTCGAGATATCTAAACCATTCACTCTGTTTAATGACTTGATCACCCATTGTTACAACCCTACCACTAGATATACTGTTACTAAATTTACATTCGATATATTCAATTTTAGATCTACTTAAATGAAAGCCTTAGACTCTAAAGTTGACCTTCATAATTCAATTTTTTTCTGAACTCTTTCTCTAGTCTTATCTAGAGAACATACCCTCAACAAAAAGCATATTCCAAGGTACATCCTCCTGTAAATGTTCAGTAAAAACATCCATAACTAAAGCAAAAAGATACGGGCTTAAAGCCGACCCGTGATGTAATCCAATTGAAATAGGCAAGTAGTTGGTCAATCCTCCTTCTATTCGAAGTCAAGTAACAACTATAGTATACGTATATTTGATAATTGTCATATCAACACTTTTCTTTTCTAGAACTCTCCAAAGAATTTTTCTTGGAATCTTATCATATACTTTTTCTAAATCACCAAAAATCATATGTAAATCCTCCTTACTCTTTGCAATTCTCCATCAAACCTCTCAATAAATGTATAGCTTCCATAGTAGACCTGTCTGTCATAAATCCAAACTAATTTTGAGAAACATTTGTATCACTTTTTAAGCTATGTTCAATTACTCTCTCCCATAATTTTAATATATAATACATTAATTTAATTCTTCTATTATTTGCGCACTCTTTTGCATCCCTTTTATGCTTAAAAATAAGGACTAAAAAACTCTTCCTCCACTCAGACATCTTTTTAGTTTTAAAAATAATATTAAAAGGTTTAATAAGCCACACTTATATTAAGATACCATCAATCCTATCGATTTTCTACCCTTCATTTTCTTTAAAGCCTCCTCAACTTTTGTTTTACTAATATTTCGATAAAAATAAAAAGTTTTATTATTATTAACGATATTAAAATCACTAACTTAGTTCGTATTTTCAAAATTTTAATTGAAAAGTTTATCAAAATATTTCACCCACATATGTTGAATATCTTCATATAAGAAAATTATTTTTTAATTTTCATCTTTAATATACTTGAACTAAATTTTTATTTTTCATATTTATATATTTGGCTAGTCTATACATATATCTTTTACTGTATATAGAATTTAATATATTGTAAAGATCACTATCAGTAAAATTTTTAGTATTATAAATTATTCTCTTAGACTCTCTACGGACTACCTTATATTTTTTCCAATTCTCTAATCTTTTTACATTTAAACCAATTTTATAACAAAATTTTTTGTATTTTATATTTTCTTGCACAATATCATTCTACCAGTAACTATTTTTATTTGTAAGAGTTTTCTTTATTAAGTACATCTTTAACTACTTGTTTAACTAGACTTGTTATTCTATCTCATATAGCGTCAACTTCTTCATAAACATTACAGATCTTCATATCTTGAAGTTTAATTATAAAAATAAATTTTTTTGTCTTTTAAATAACTTCATCCAATTGAATGATAGTATTTCATTATATTTTTCATCTCAAAATCCAAAATTAATAATTAATGTTGAGTACTTAATTTTTTACTTGAAATGACCTTACTATTTTTACAATTTCAACAATCTCTTATTTTTTTTAAAAAATCAATTTATGTTTTATTTATATTATTTTTAAAATTGATAATCTCGACGATATCTTTTTTATAAAAGATATTAGAAATAACAAAATCATATGCTAAAGCAGAATCCAATCTGACTATCTTCTTTATTAGTCACTTTAAAAGCATAGCCATCAGAAATATTTTTAAAATTTTCTACCGCTCTAACCAACATGTCCATTTAAATCTCATCCAATAAATTTTTTTTCTTTAAAATGTATCATTTATATTAATTTTTTTAGGACATCCTAATTTTCTGTTAGCATAAATTTAGACCTACTTGATGAAAAAATATGGGATTTAAAAATATAAATAAGAATTATGCTCCTTAATGCAAAAATTATTATAGCCATTAAGAATTTTTGTATCAATACCAATTTTCATGGCTATAATTCTATTTTTAAGTTTATTAATTTTTACAATATTATCTTTTAAACTCTTATCTATAATAATACTTATACTATTTCTAGTACAATATCTACCTAAATACTAAAGTTTAAAACCTAAGCTACCAGCCTTCTTAGCTTTTTCTCTAGCTATTTAGTTTCATTTGTATTAATATATCTAGGTTATTCCAAAATTTTTCTTTTAAACATAAACTTAAACCTACTTGAGGAGCATGCACTATAAACATTAAGAATTTTTGTATCAAAACTAATTTCAGGTCTATAATTTTATTTCTAATTTTCTATAATTTTATTTCTAATTTTATTTCTAATTTTATTAATTTTTACAGCATTATCTTTTAAACTCTTATCTATAATTACACCTACACTATTTTTATAACTTTTACTCGAATACTAAAGTTTTAAAACTATGAATCTCTTTTAGTTTTTCTCCAACCTTTTTAGTTTCTTGAATGTATATAATACTTATCTTTTTATGAACCATAATATCTACAAATCTCATTAATTTGCCTGTGAGAGTACCTATAATTTATGTTTCTTTTTTAATATTACTTTGATAGACTAACTTTTTTATTTGCAGCTGTCCATAATGTGTGAGCTTTTGCTTATTTGACATTACACTCATGAGATGGTGTAGAGTCCCTTGCACACGTTTCACCGTATTCAGTTCATACAACGCTTCGCTTTTAGAGGACGTCCTAACATTTATAAAATGATTTAAAAGATTCATGTCATGATTTTTTGATAAAAAATTTAAGCTGGCTATCAACTACTTTCCACAACTTTCCAATTTTTGCAACTGAGGTGTACATAAAAAATGTGTTAGCATTGATCCTAAGGAGATTTAATGATCTAGAGAAGAATACAAGGGAAGTTTCATTGATAGAAGAACCTGAAGCCTATTTATTCGACTGAATGTAGCCATCCGAGTCAAAGCCGACGGAGCCACGAGGAGGACCGAATGATCTGAGTCTGAACCGTTCGGTCGGAAATGAGACAAAGAGACTCGGAAGAAGCCAACCTTCAACATCTCTAACCATACCATGGATGCTCAAAAGGCCCTCATCTATTATCAAGGTCTGACATCCATACTAGTTTAGAAGATCGACAAGGCTGACCAAGCCTAATCGACTGAATCATTCCTACCGACTCAAATCTAATCAAGCTCAACCGATTGAGCAAAAGAGCAGTTGAGCGATACTCTGATACATGTAAAATATCCTTAATACCCTAGACATCCCCCTTTAAAGCATGGGCAAAAATGTAACATTATCATATTATAATTTCCCTCCGTAAATAGGGAGATTACTTCATGAATAAGGCATGACGAATTACTGTTCATTAGTTTGCTTTTCTCTCCATATCTCCCCTTATGCTCTATTCCTTGGGCATGATTCACGGACAAATCTTGCGTCAACATCCTAAATGGTGCAGTGAGTGTAGATCATGTCACAGACATAAAGAGAAGCATCCCATGGAGAAAAAACCCATGATAGAGACACCGACAACATGGAGTGCCCCTAAAATTTTGTGAACTAGCAGTTCTAGGATTTGAAGGATCAAATGTTGGACGTCATTCAATACATGCTGGCTCGGGGAAGAGAGTAGCACTGCTGAGAGGAAGGGCCGGAGTCCAATGGTCGAAGAGTCCCCAGGCCTTAGAAAGAAAAGGGGACTCCTAGTATATTGATAATGCTGAGTCGACATAGATCGACTAACACCATTTCAAACGTACAAAGGCACCTTCACAGCCTTAGAATGCATTTTCTCAAGAAATCTCTGAGGTCGAGCCTTCAGAGGTTCAAAATCTCGACACCGGAGTCCTACAAGAAATGCACTGATCCTGTTGATTACAAAGTCTTTTTTTGGTTAATTGTGTATTTGATGAGGATCACCGATACATTGAAATGTCGTCTCTTTACCACGCTAAGGGAGTCAGTCCTCAGGTGGTACAATGCATTATCGTTAGGAGCGGTCGCATCATTTGCTAATTTCAAGTGAATGTTTGTAGCGCGGATTGCCAGTGCCCAAAAATATAAAAAAACTTACAGGCTCTCTTGCAGATCTGACGGGGATTAGAGCAAAAGTCTTTACTCGTTCATCGCATGCTTCCAGAAGGAGATATTTGACATGCGTTAAATTTTCATATTTTTTATGCTTTAATTACAACAATTTCCCG